GCAGTCACCCCGAGTTGGACGGAGGCTGACTCAATGGCAGCCATCAATCACAAGGCCATGGCTGAAGAAGGACTGGCCACGCTGGCGAGGACCTACCTGTATCAAGGGGGCCATTTCTGAGAAGGAACTATGCCTCCTTCGGGACCCTCACCTCGTCCGTGTTGTACATGCCCATGCCCACGCCGCCAGCGGGGAAGTTGTACACCTCCCACTCCTTGGCGCTGCTGCCGTCCTTCGGGGCGAAGACCATCTTAAAGGTGCCAGCCCGGTCCACCACGAAGTCCGTGCACTTATACTGCGAAGACAGACGAGAGGGCGGCTCAGAGCGGGGCTCCGCCCTTGGGCCCCTGGCCAGTGGGCCCCGCCCCCGCAGCAGCCCACCTGGTCGCCATGGGCGTGCCGCCCAATGGTGATGGGCTTGGTCCAGCCGGGCACCAGGCGCGGGATGTTTTGGCAGATGATGGGCTCCCGGAAGACGGTCCCCCCAAGGATGTTCCGGATAGTGCCGTTGGGACTCTTCCACATCTTCTTCAGCTTGAACTCTGCAGGGACGGAGACCGATCCGTCCCACTGCTAGCATGCTCGCTCCTCCACGCCCCCTCCACCCAGAACCTGGCCCCAGGCAAGAGCACAGCCAGCGGGCGTCCTGCCCGGCACTGAGTCAGACTTCCTGGGTTCGAGTCCCAGCTCCACCCCCTCCGAACTATCAGCCTCGCTTAAGTAGCTCAACTCCCCCAAACGTGAAATTTTTGCTAAAATGTCTCACTTATTGGCTGTGGTGAGGACCAAGTGAACTATGCGAAATGGAGGCTGTGGGTGGAAAACCACTGACGGCCCACTCCTCCCCATGCCCCCAAATGAGCAGCATGCCAGCGAGGCTGCTGGCACAGTTCTGATGAGAGCAGCAGGCAGAGCCCCGCCCCAGCCCCGCCCTGGCACCTTCCACGCGGGCTTCATCGGGGGTGATGGTGGCACACTTGACGGCTACGTTGTACTTCTGCGTGGCCAGTGCAGAGTCGATGGTGACCTGGTCATTGGTCTGGTCACGGTGTGGGAGTCCAAGGTCAAAGTATTTGAGTTGGATGTCCACATGGGGCAGGATGAGCTGGGGACAGACAGACAGCAGGGACTAGGCGTCAGCCACAGGACTGTGGTTCAGGGCCAGGACACTAAGGGGCACGGGAAAAGACCACAGCAGGGGCACCCGGTCAGGGGCAGGCACCAGAGAAGGCAGCAGAAGGGACTGGGCAGCGAGGGCTGGGTAGGCCATTCCTGAAAGAGGCAGGCCCGACCTGGTGAGCCTGGGTTCTGAATGCAGGTGAGGGGCGCAGGCAGGCTCCAGCCCCTTAAGAGGGCTCTCCCCCAGCCGGGACCTTCTGACCTCCTCCACCCCGCCATGGCCTCAATTCAGCCTAACCCCAAGTCCGAATGGGACTCTCTCTACAGAGTGTCCCCTCTTCTCTCAAAGTGCTCTGAGGTCTGACAAGCAGGGGTGGCATGCCCCGGCCCCCCTCCCATGAATGTGCATGCAAACATGGGCCTTTGTGTGGGCAGAACGCTCCCCTGGCCCCCTGGCCATGGTGTTACCCTCTGGACCAGCCTGTCCCCTCTCAGGCCCACCCCAGAGAGCACACTGCAATGCAGGAACAAGAAACATGCCTTATTCAGTACCAAGACTTAGCAGCTGGGACAAGGGCCAAGGATGGACAGGAAGAGAGACTCATGGCTGCCACTGCCCAGCAGGGTGACGCTGAGGCTTGGAAGGACTGTGCTGGGACAGAGCAGGGAGGCTGGCCCACCTGCCTGGAGAGCACCCACAGGGTCAGGGCTGGGGGTCACCTTCTCCTTGATGAACTGCCAGATGATCCGGGTCATCTCATCACCATCCATCTCCACCACTGGCTTGGCCACCTTGATCCTCTTGTCAGCATCTGGTTCCGACATACACAGCGTGTCACACTCTTGCGGGAGGTTGGTGGGGGCTCCCCTCCCTCCCACAGGCCTGGTCACATGCCCCCTTCACAGAGAAAGAAGCTGCCCAGTGCGCACCCCCTTCATCAAGAGCCGGACTAGCCAAGATGCCTGCCCAGCCCGACACCAAGGAGGCAGGGGCCAGACCTGGCCAGCCAAATGCTGTGCCCTGGAATCTGAGGGTAGGGGACCAAGCTGGGTATTGAGAATCCACCGGGGCCCACATATCCAGCACCAGGTCAGGGAGACTGGTTCTCTGGTTTTCTACATAATTCTACACATCATCCCATGTTCTTCTAACCAAGCCTCACAAAGGAAATCAGCATCAACGTTAGCTGTGGCTTACAACCCGAGAGCCCCGGACTCACTTTAAGTGAGGGAGGAGATGGCATTGCGCCCCCCTAGAATTGAGCACCCACTAGAATCCCTGGAGGTCCAGGGGTTAAGCCCTCCGCCACTAACTGGAAAGCTGGCAGTTCAAACCCACCCAGAGGTGGGTTTCTCCTTGAGAGAAAGGTCTGGCAGTGTGAAAGGTCGTGGCTGAGAACACCCAGTGGAGCTCAGCGCTACTGGGAAACACCTGGGGAAGTGATGCGAAGGCAGTGGCTTGTGGTTTTATAACAATAGTAATGATAATAAGAAGCTTCTATGTTCCTAGGAGCTCTGGTGGTGAGTTGCCAACTTCCAAAAGCCCTCAGTTGGAGCCCCCAGCTGCTCCTGGGGAGGAAGATGAGGCAGGCTGGATTTACAGCCCGGAAACCCCAGGGAACAGTCTGCCCTGTCCTGACAGGTCGGTGTGAGTCAGGATGGACCAAACAGGAGCAGGACGGTGTGCCGTTCCTAATGGAGTGTCTGCGTGGTCCAAACAGTTCAGCTCTGGGCTGGGAACTGAAAGATCAGTAGTTTGAGTCCACCCAGGCTCCACTGGGGAAAGGCCTGGTGATCTACTTGCAAAAAAAATCAGCCATTGAAAAAAAACCTTAAATGTACAGCATTTTAAAAATTCCCTGTGGCTCAATTCACAGTCAAGCAATAGACAGACCTAGAGAGTGAACGGAGCCCTGGTGGTGTAGTGGTTACAAATTAGGCTGCAATCCACATAATCCACATGGTCAGCAGTTCAAAACCACCAGCAGCTCCGAGGGAAAAAAGACTGGGCTTTCTACTCTTGTAAACAGTTAGAGGCTCAGAAACACCCACAGGGGTTCTCTGTGAGTCAGCACTGACTCGATGGCAGTGAGCTAAGGTGCACAGGAACACCATGGAGGTTGCATCCTTAGAACCATCAACCCTGAGACCAAAAGGGCAGCATTTGTCCAGCGAGCAGCTCAGGTGACAGGAAGAGCTAGGCAGAGACTCAGTGGGAGACATTGGGAGGAAGTGGGATGAGCGAGTTCTGTTTGTGGGGCTGGAAATCAGTGTCAAAAAACAAATTATGTGTACATCGTTGAGTGAAAATCCCATTTGCTCTTTCACAATCACAATATATATAAAGTTCAATATAAAAACAAGCCAAGCCAGACTTAACTCATCGACAAAGAACAGAGGAGCCCCCCCTCCCAGACTAAGGACCCCTCCCCCAAGCCCTGAAGATAACCCCAAGGCTCCCATCCTTCAGCCAGAGAGCAGACCAGACTCTAAAACAAGCAGCGACATTCAGGAAGAACAATCATTCGCCCAAACCCAAAAATGAGACAACAGGGAAATGGGATGAGCAGAAGCAGGGAGGACGGGGGAGCGTGAGTGTGCTGACACACTGCGGGGGCGGGGGCACCATCAACATCCCAGAACAACCTGGGCGTGAACTACGGATGGAAAATGGATTTGCTACATAAACTTTCACCCAAAACACTCACTGCTGTTGAGTCAATGTCCACTCAGAGTGACCCTACAGAAGGGGGCAGGACTGCCCGTGAGTTTCTGAGCCTGTAACTCTTTACCGGAGTAGAAAGCTTCATCTTTCTCCCATACAAATTATATATTTTTAAGTGAATATATATAAAAATATATATATTTTTTTAAGTGAAAACCCCGAGGGACAGCGTTCTACTCTGTCCTCCTGACACACGTGATGAAGTTGCCTGAGTGGAGCCCACAGCGACCACACTCTTCGCACACAAGACTCTTTTTCATCCTCGAAACAGCCTCTAAGGGGGGCGTCACTGTCTCCATTGGACAGGTGGGGAAACTGAGGTGCTGAGAGCTTACAGACTACACGGCTTGAAATCAACAGAGCCAGGCGGTCTCCATGGTAAAGACAGGCTTGATGGCATCCGCAAGCCAAACCCAGAATCCTTGATCTGAGCTCCCCGGGGCTCTTCCAGAAGGGTCCTGTGTGGCTGCTGGGCGGGTCAAGAGATGGAGGGTGAGGCGAGAGGAAGCAGAAGGAGGGGGAGGTCCTTCAAAGAAAGTGTGACTCCTAAGAAAACGGCCCATCCACGGAATGAGTGCAGAGTTCACACCCAGGGCCATCCTGGTGGCTCTGCCCACAGCCAGTGAAGGAACTTAGTGACTTAGTGACTATGGAAAATGACCTGTCTCCAGAAAATCTCAGTCCACACTGAAACCCAGCAGAGAGCAAGACAGCTGACACCCGTGCCCTCTCCCCTCCACCCCCAGGGGCCTTCCTCAGCTCCTCACACCCAATCCTTACAGCCGAAGCTGGCGCCTAGCTTCACCAGTCAGCGCCTGTGCAGTCAACTCCCAACACAGTGACAATCCCTAACACAATGGGGACCCCAGACCCAACTGAACAAAGCACCACGCAGTTCTGCCCCAGCCCCAAGGTGTTGTGGATCTGACCATGGTTACACAGTTTTCTTTTCTTTTAATAAATTTTATATTGTGAAGGTCTACAGAGCAGACAACAGTATTACACTCAATTCACATACATTCTTATTCAACGCATCCACTGTGACCCTGTCTGGATAGCGTCCCTATCCCACTTCCTCCCAGTGTTTCCACTTTCCATTCCTCCTCCTCTCCTCACCCTGGCCTTGCAACAATGTTGCCCTTTACATCTTAAATAGTTGGTTATTCTAGCTCAGCGGTGAGTTCAGTTCCAGATCTGAAGCGGAAGGGCCATAGTTTGGGGAGTCCCATCAATCCCTACCAACCAGTAAAGCTGGTCTCATAAAAGAGTAGAGTTTTGTTCCACATGGTTCTCCCTGTGATGTGATCATTTTCAGAGCAGCTGGTCGTGGTAGTTGGGCACCATCTAGTTCTTCTGGTCTCAGGGTGATGGAGACCCTTTCTTGGGGTCGCTGTGTGTATATTGTTTCTCTAGCTTTCCCAGACTAACACAGCACTCTTTTCCTCTGGGCAAGTAGACACCAACAGTTACATCTCCCAAGCTTTTAAGACCTTAGCGCAGCGGTTCTCAACCTGTGGTCTCGACCCTTTTGGGGATTGAATGACCCTTTCACAGGGGTCACCCGATTCATAACAGTAGCAAACTTAGTTATGAAGTAACAACGAAAATACTTTTACGGTTGGGTGGTCACCACATGAGGAACTGTATTTAAAGGGTCTCGGCATTAGGAAGGTTGAGACCCACTGCCCTAGAGGTTATTGACCAAGGCAGGATGCAGAACATCATCTTGGTGAACTATGTTAAATTCATAGGGTTTTCACTGGAAGTAGATTCCAGGCCTTTCTCCCAAGCCTGCCTTCCTAAGTTTCGAAGCTCTGCCGAAACTTGTTCAGCATCACAGTGACATGCACACCTTCCCCGATAGATGGGTGGTGGCTGCACATGAAATGCATTGGCCAGGAAACGAAGCAAGGGCTCCCTTATGGAGGCTGAGAAGTCTACCCGGGACCCAGCCCTGCAGATTAGACACACCAAGTCAGAAGCGGGGAAGCTATTCCATTGGAAATACCAACAGCTGGAAGAAATGGCAGACAACTGGCAGGTTGACAGCAAACACAGCGAGGGACACAAGCCTATGAGAAACAGACCCAGAAATAAAAATTTAAAAAACACGGCCTGTCGAAATAGCAATTTTTAAAATATATATATAAATTTTGCCACAATACTTTTTCAAAAAAATTGACATGGAAGATTTCCTAAACATATTAAGTGGGGTGGGAGATGGAGGGGTTTGTTTGTTTGTTTGTTTGTTTGTTTGTTTGAAGCATAGCCAGTGTTATAGTACTGAATTGTATCACCCAAAACTACAGGTCCACTTGGCTGAGAACACATAATATGATTCTCAATATTATGTCATTATCATCCATGTAGGGATGATTTGATTATCTGTTGTGTTGTACACCTCAACCTCTCTGAAGCAGTGAAGCAGGACTGGCAGCGGTTGTGTGAATGAAGCCACACACAATCTGAAGGAGCAGAGTGAATCCATCCCTTTTGAGTCACAAGAGATTAAACAGGCGAGCAGAGATCGGAGGAATCTCAGTTCCGCCAAGGAAGAGCTGCTGAAGGGAAACTGGTGCTTTGGCCCCAGGTACCCTTGCTGGGAACCTCCTAGACCCAGGGAAGGCTGTTGCCAACACCATGGGGATCTCCAAGAATGTGAAGCCCACAGATACTGAGAGGAAACAAGAACCTTCCCCTAGACCAGCCATCCTCAAACTACGGCCCGCTGAGGACATTTATCCGGCCTGCCGGGTGTTTTTGCCCCGCTTGTTTTTTT